CACATGACAATTCAAACTTTCTCGATCCTTTATCATTCTTTTTCACACTAATAAAGACTTGTCAAAATTGAAATTCCATAACGTAAAAACGATTATCATATATTTATTATCTTCCTTCCTTGTTTCTGAATTGCAGAAGAAAAAATGTCAGAAAAGGCGGACAGATTCAATGTCAATGAAATGAATCAATTATATATACATACATATATACATATAAATATATACAATGGGTGATCAAATTATTAGAGCCACACGGTACGAAAAATATATTTTCTTTCCGTTTGTGTAGAAATCAAATTTTTACAGTGGACAATTTTTTATTAACAATTGTCAACTCAAAAATACACAAAAAAAGGCAAACTTAGTTCGTATAGTTATAAAAGATACAGTTACAATCGTCAATTTATATAGTTAACTCCAACAATTCGATCGCCCGTTGTATAGCGACTTTAAGAAAATAAAAAAATTGTTCGATAAAATTGAACGAGCATCGCGTATCGATACGTCCGACGCGCTATTGTTGAATGAAGAGAAAAAAAAATGTTTATATCAGAAAGTTTCCGACTCGAAGGATTCGAGAGAAACAGCCAGACTGTGTGTGTGTGTGTGTGAGAGATTTACGGCCTCGTTATCTCGTCGATTGAAAAATTCCGTGTAATTAACCGGCAAACTTTCCGAAGTTCTCCCTCGTGGAAAAAATAAAAGTAATACTACGGCATATTCAACGCACGTGTTTAGTATAAAAGCGTTTTTGTACTTTCCGCCGCGGCGTATTGACTTTACTCGTGAGGCGCGCAATTAAAAAATTATATATATATACATACATACATGTACACACACACCAACCCGCATCGAACGATGGATAAAATGGTGGTTGGCAAGCCTGCTTCTGTTTACCAACCGTACCTACTGGTTCTTTTGTTCCCTATAAATGCGTTAAAGCTGCGTCTACACTGCGTAGCAAAACAGTGTGTATGTAACAAATTGTTGTATGATTCTGCTATACAATTTTTTATAATTTGTTACAAGATTGAACCTTCTGGACAAGTCTGTAACAAGTTTGCGTAACATTTCGCATCTCATTATTAATAATAGAGTCACACTTAATCGATAACATGTAACTTGCTATATAACACGCAAAATGTCATATAACATCAGGTTACACATACAGGGTGTAACAAAAATCTTGGAGGATCCGGAAATGGAAGTTTCGTGAGGTGATTTGAAACAAGCTTTTCCGGAGCAAAAATGTTATCCGAGGCTTTGTTAACGAGCCATTAACGAAAAACCCCGACCACTCAGAGCACGAGTCTGCTGGCCGAGTTCAATGCTACCGCAGGAACTCAGCCGGCAGACTCGCGCTCTGATTGGTCGGGATTTTTCGTTAATAGCTCGTTAACAATGCTTCGGATAATATTTTTGCTAAGGAAAAACTTGTTTCAAATCACCTCATGTATCTCCATTTCCGGGTCCTCCAACATTTTTGTAACACCCTGTATAACATTTTTATAGTATAAATGCAGCTTTAAAGCTGCGTCGATATAACAAAGCAAAACAGTGTTATAGAACAATTTGTTCTATAACCTTGCTGTACAACACGTTCGTATAACTTGTTACAAGATTATACAAGTCTGTAACAAGTTTGTATAACATTTCGCACTTCATTACAAATAATGGCGGCACACTTGATAGGTAACGTAGAAATTGCTATGTATAACACGAATGTTATATAACATTTTTCTATCTGTTTTTCGAAGGAGTTTTATAACTTTGCTATGTAACATGTTATGCTATATTATAGTGTAGATGCAGCTTAAGATGTGTGCGTAATTCAGGTTACGCGCGTCACGATATTATTCAACGATTAGATTGTTAAAAGGGCACAATATTGAAAACATATAATGGTCATTTACTGCAACAGCGACGTAACTCGAAAATCACGATTTTAGGAAAAACGAGTTTGAATGTTTTGATCGTTATAATTTTGTGCGAACATCGTATTAGGGTGACTGTCCTGACGTGGTAAGTTTTGAAAGCTCAGTTACAGGACTCCATCAATAAAGAGTACAGACAACAACCGTCTTTCTTATACTAATACAGTAAAATCTGAATAAATGCTCGGAAAGATCTCGACGTGAAGTGTTTCTGCATCACCCCCACTACTGGGGGATTCCCCCTTGGAACCAGTCAATCGAGTAATGTAAAAGGAACCAAAAATGTGACCCGAAAAATCGTGTCCTTCTACAATAACTGTACCAAAGCGGTCCCAAGTTTTGTGCGTTAATCGAAAATGCACTGTAACTCAAAAACAACAAAGTTTTAGTTATGTCGTTGTTGCAGCAAATGAGCGATGTATGTACGTCATTTTGTACCAATGTTATGGCGATCATGTGTACAATCATATTCCATTTTCAGAAACGCGTTATAAACATTCCAGTTGTCGATTGCATTTATTTATTTATTTCCGATACCGATGTCTGTGGACGAAACACGTAAAATAATTTAAAATGTAAAAGTGGAATAGAGAATGGAAAGCCAAGCATCCGACAAGACCGATTCTCATGTATCTTCTTCGAGGAAAATGTTACCAACTGAATTTGACAATTTCGCTAGGGGAAAACGCAGCGTAGGGAAATGGCCTTCTACCAGTTGGTAAATTTATTTGGTAATTTTTAATTTAATTCAAATGATAATTCATTTGGTGAATTTATTTCAACTACTGAAATAAATGTTAAACTGAACATTAATTGGAAATAATTTCAGTAACTCCCGAGACCAAAGTGGTAGGATGTCCTTCCCCTATGTCGCTTTTTTCCCCTAACGGAAGCCGAGTTTGTTCGTGAGGGTACTGGTTTGATAATATCTTACGAACGATGCATCGAATTTACACTGGACTGTTCAAAGTGAGAAAACAATTATGTATAAATTAATATTATGGAATATTCGAAAGTAATGTTAAAACAAAAATTTATATTCCGTTAGATATTGTGACAAATATGGAGGACGTTTATTATAAGTTTAAGTGGTTCTGTAACATAAAGTACGAACGTAAACAATTCAATGGTTTGAAGAATTGGATCGCATGGTTAACTCTATACCGTATAAATTTACAGTATTTTAATTAAAGTTCAACTAAAAAGCGTAATTATTTTCTGCAAAGAACTTTAATCAAACACGCATTGTCATTTCTTGTTAAAAAAAATGGCCTACTTCGAGACATTACCGAAAACAGGGAATCTATTTTCTTCAAACCACGGCAATAGCGCTCACGCGAAACGAAACATAACCTCAATGTTCCGCTAATTTAAGTTGCGACTGGTGCACCTTCGATCCGCCGAGGATCACATGTTACCAACACTTAATCCTTGGACCATAAAATCGAACCATTGAATATCCAAGCTACATCGCTATTATTTTCAAAAATAATTCAATAAATTGGGCACTCGTTGGACGTGATATTCGATTTTCAAAACGGGGCCAATGATTAATCGTCGCGAATATTTTCGTTAAATTGGCGTGTTTCGAGAAATACGTGCCTCGAAAAATAGGGTCGTCAAAAAAGCTGCTAATTAGAAGAACCTACCGGGCGCAATAAAAGCAGCGGGAGCATTGATAAAACGTTTGGAGCGCGTCATTCGGCATATGTCGCCCGCCGCCTTTTCGATTTATAATTTAATTCCAGCGCGTATTTCATGACGCGCGTATACGCACGCCAGGCAATCGCGTCTCGGTACTTTTACACTGTTACCACGATGAGCACCAAAAAATATTACATAGTACATAGAAATGGAAAACGTTACGCTGCTGCAGCCTTACGAGCCTTATCTGACGCCCAATTGTACTCATACGTCTGGACCCCAGAGCTAGAGACTGTATTAAGTCGCGGTTTTCAAACTTTAGAGGAAATCAGAGGTGCGAAACCTTGTAAGTTTGGAACCGTTCGGTGAGAATTCAAAGAGAAACAATATACAGTGATTCCTCGATGAATGCGACACAGAGTAAGTGCAAAACAGTAACCAGAAGCTAAGTAGAGGCTCGATTTTAGGTAAAAGACAAATTTATGAGGGGCAGAAAACCTTTCCGAAGCGGACCCGTGTACATCGCACTCATCGAGACGTTACTGTACCTCTGAACTATTAAATGGATTTAAGTCTCGATATGTAGAAATGGTGAACGTTGCATTAAGACCCCTATATGATGGACTTTACACTGTTAGGCTCGGAACTAGACAAGGACCCTCACGAGCAAACTCGGCTTCCGCTAGGGGAAAAAATGGCGTAGGAAAAGGGCCAACCTGCGACTTGGTAAATTTACTTCAAGTACTGAAATAGAGGTTAAATCGAATGTTAATTTAGCATAAATTTCAGTAAACTCCGATACCAAGTGGTAAGAAGCCTTTTCCCTACGCCACTTTTTCTTCTAGCAGAACCTGAGTTTCCTCGTCAGTGGAGATAACCCTCAGACACGACACCAGTACCACCTTGCACCAGCTAAACATCGTTTCGCGTGTAACATTCTATCTGGCTAGCATAACGGTCTCAAATTTTTATAATTAAACAATTACTTCTCACTTTTGCAATTATTACCATTGAACTTTCTTAAAAGAAATTTTACCCTAAAAAATGAATTCAGTTTCCTTTTATTCTCTTCAGAAATTCAAAATCCCAAGTGTGCGAGGGTTAATAAAAATTTGATACAGGAAACATGTAAAATGTAATTTTTTTTTTAAAGTGGACTTAATACGGACTGGTTCTTGGGTCCTGATATTAGTTCGTGACGCCGCCGCTGCGTGGCCTGCCGGTCGCACACTGATCCCGTGGTCATGCGCGTCATGGGTCACGTGACCGACCGAGAACTCACATGATTGAACATTTGTGCACGTGACCGAACGTTCTCTGTCCCGTTACCATCGGTAGAACATCCTGAGGCCCCGTTAGACTGTCAGTATTACTCACGCACAATGATAGTCGTATTAGCACTTGATTGACCGGTAATCGTTTCATAATTGGCAAATATAATATTTCATTTCGATTTCCGTATGAATCGTTCGGTTTCGCTTTCGAAGGTAAAAACATAACGGGGATATTATGGTAGACGTCTCCGGACACGCGAATTCTTTCGCGGGAAGGATCTTCGACTATTTTCACGGTTTCGTAAATAGTTTTCGGAAGCACGACAATGAAACTTCTCGGCCGTAAACGATGGACGCTTCGACGCTGGTCGAACCCGAAGAACAATTTTACCCGATACATTCTTCTTACGTGAAGTCTACGGAACACACGTGATTCTGCCCGTAAGCGCCATACACACGTGACTATATTGATAATATACAGAGCGCGTACTGTACGTACGTAGGACGTTATTCGGCGGCAACGTTATTGACGATACCGATTAAGCAATCAAAATGGACTCGTAATTTTGTTCGTGAGTTACGCATGACGAGAGAACCGAAGAAACCCGCATTTATCATCATTACTAATATTATTATTATAATAAATCTCAGTATGCTCTAAATGTACTATCGTTGTTGTATAGTAATCATTATTATTACTATTGTTGTTATACCGTCAATTGTCGTTTTGCAGTCACTCTATTTATTCTTTATCCTTTCGTTTCTGCGCTGTCAAACGGTCTGTTATATTAACCTTTTGTTTTGTCTGTTACAGCAGTGTATACGTCTTTATGTGTGGGTGTGCATGTGAATCTGTGTGACTGTGTTCCCCACGGTATAAATGTTGACTTTCCGGTAAGCTAATTCAGTCTGATTACGCTGCACGACCATATAAAAATTGCACGTGCAGTCATGGCCGCTCTTTATCTTCTCGAGGGGGTCGATCCAGCCGCGGGGAGAAATGAAACGGAACGAGGCCGCGCAGAAGTTGAAATTGCAACGCATTAAAATTAATGGCAATTACGATGATTGAATAATATCCGCTTGAAGCGAGAGCGTATATTGTCGTTCTGCCGTTGTATTCGTTGAACCGTTCGATGCACGCTCACGGCAAATATCCTCTGAGCTTTACTTGCGTGATCGCGATGACTACAAAGAGACTATACGCAATATTCAACCCCATCCCTGTTCCTTATACCGGGTGAGTCATGAGAAAGAGAACTCATATAGCAACGCTCATAAGTGTTCGAACGTCTTAAGAATTCCAAAAAGTGTGGAATATTTAGACTGTTAAGGGAAAGATTCATTGACCCAAAGTGGGTAACGTACACTACAGTAAATCATCGATGAGTGTTCGAAGGTACAAAAATTCCATAAACTAATATGCGACTGAAACAAATATTATTGGCTTCAGAATTCTAAGCTGTATCACTGTGCTAAACCGCATTAAAAAGTCGTGCCGAGGAGTCTTTGAACACTCATCGAGGATTTACGGTATTGCACGCGTAATATTTGAAATTGTCCGTTACTATACAACGATTACTGTTACTGTGTCGCGCCGTTTAGATGACACGGATCATAGAACACAGCATTTTGTACAGTGATATTAGTACAGGATAAGGAAAGAAGCCAATAGTTACCACAGAACGTATAATCGACGATAAAAATGTGACGGGACGTATCCTAGTATAATGTCGAACCGAGGACAGAAGCAAGTAGGATACAGGGTACTAATAAAAAGGTTTTGGATACATGAAATTGCAATGAAAATAGTATGTATTATTTAAAGGAAGAATCATATGTGTTGAGCAGTAGCAAGATACAGTAGAGCCTCCCGTATCCGAACTAGTACAGAGACCAAAGAGTTCGGATAATAGAAGAAATACTTTTCTGATACTAAACCTTTATTTCAAATTTTCAATTTAAAAATTTCTTTGAATAGATTAACATTTTCAATATCTACTTAAATAAAAATCAAGAATGTTGACGTGTTTTGAATATTTATGGATGCTGTACTTTTTTCACTGATGAATTACAAACATTTTTCAACATAAGTAATCGCGTAGAATTCCATCGAAGAGAAGAAAGTACATATTGCTTGTAAACACCATTGTATTTCCAACAGAAAAAGGCATCAGTTGCCGGGAGACATTCTGTTCGGATAACAGAACGTTCGAATATTAGGGTGTTCGGATAACAGAACGTTCGAGTATTAGGGTGTTCGGATAACAGAACGTTCGAATATGGTATTAGAGTGTTCGGATAACAGAACATTCGGATAGTAGAACGTTCGAATATCGTATTAGGTTGTTCGGATAACAGAACGTTCGAATATCGTATTAGGGTGTTCAGATAACAGAACGTTCAAATATAACATTCGAAATAAGTCCACTTATACAAAAAAACTGCTCACATCAAATCATTCCCTAAAACTATTCAACTTTTATTTGAAACATTTTTTGGTATCATCAACGGTTTCGAGTATATTTGACAGGATCAATTTAAATGGCTCACCCTGTATAATATTTACAAGAGATCCCCGTATAATACGGTTTCTCTCTAACACGATTAGAGAATCAGGTGAACCCCCGAATAATACAATATTCCTACAACAAAATTAAACAATTGTGCAGAATGTACGGTTTTTTAAATAGTCTTTGGAATCTAACCTTGTCATGATACAGGGTTTTTCAGGTCTGGTGGTACAACTGGGCAGGAGGGGATTCTGTAAGAAAAAATAAATCGAAAAAAGGAATAACATTTTTTCGTTTGAGATTTCGGTTTCGAGAAAATTGGGTTTAAAAATTCATCAAAATCACGTGTATCTGTGCTGGGTAAAAGTAGAAACGGCCTGCAATGAACAGACTCGTTAGCCAAGTCCTATTCTATTGCCTGTGTATGTAACTAATGCTCAAACTCGATTATCTCGAAAACGAAACATCGTCCAAAAAAATTGTATTCCTTGTTAGTATTATTTTTTCTTGTAAAATCCCCTCCTGCCCGATTGTAATACTTAACCTGAGACATCTTTTATATTAGTTCTTAGTTTCGTATAACACGAATTGACATATCACGGTTATTTTTAGGAACTCAATCTCCATTTTATACGGAGACCACCTGTATTTTGTTTATATGCATTGTATGCATAAAATAGTACTTCTTGTTAACAAGGGTTGTGATATATTTCAAAACTGAATTGCATAAATATTTTTCTTAATTGATTTTAGAAACGAAATACAACTTAAAGATTTTTTTCATAACTAACGATTATATCTTCATCTGAAATCGAATTCATCGGTGATGAATTCAACTCTTATTTTCATTCAGTCTAAAATAAACAGAATTGTGTGAACAGTGCCCAAATCCGAAAGAAATCGCTACTCGGAAGGTTAATTAATTATATTTGGTAAACGAAGCTACAATTTTGAAACTGTTGGAAAATTTTCCGAACTCTGTTAGGACAAGAATCAAGTATGTTTCGTTTTATGTCAGTACTGTTTGAATGTGAACTCTGTGTGTGTATGAGAATGTGTCGATGTTTTTGTTGTGTCAGAGAATCGTATTTTTTTCCAAAAACAATGTTTTGTTCCAATTCTTGTTTTTGCTTTTAGTTTTGCAAAAATAAATACGAAACGCCTGGTTCCTACCCAAAAGCATTTCGATCGATTATTTTATCGTTAAGCTGTAAACATTCACGCATTTTTTCTTTTCCAGACGTGTCTGACGAAGTGTATACTACTAGAATACCACCGAAACGTGCTTCTCTAAGCAGCGGCGCCAGTAGAATAGTAGATTAGTTAGCACTTAATAATCTGCTAATTACTCGACGCCCATTGAGAACCCGACATTCTGAAAAGAACGTCAAACAACCATGGGGAAGCAGAACAGCAAATTGAAACCGGAAGTCCTAGAGGATCTCAAACAGAATACTGAATTTACAGGTGAGTCCTTTTTTTTAAATAAACCTTACTTATGTATGACAAATATGTTGATATTTCGAATAAAATGTTTTGTAATGTTAATTTACCAATGTGATTAACTCGACAAAATTTATATTTAAAATTTATCTTTAAATTTATATTTAAGAAATTTTTAAAGGATTGTAAAATAATTTACATTTAAAATGTTTTTTAGAAAAACATCTTCCACAATTTATTAGTTTTTGAAAATGGTATAAATCCATTTGCGATTGACAAAAACACTGCTTTACTTAGGAAATATTTATAAAAACGGTCACATAATAAAATTAAACACGTCAGGAATCTTAAAATCATGAAATAAGATTATTTACGTTTAACAATGTTTTTGAATAGCATAAAATGTAGAACATTAAATATCTCGAAATAAATTGAAGTGGACTTATACCACTGAAAAAAAAATATTGAATCTAGAATAAAATTAAAGTTACAAAATGAGATATCATGTTTATGTAAACAAGTAGAAGTTCACCAAGTTAATTATTTAAAAGGACAAATATTACGAACAAACTTTTACGTACTATGTTTGGCATACTTTGTTTAAGAAATATCTCGCCCGTATGCGAAAATACCTTAACCTAGATTTCAAAACAGAAATTTAAAAAATTCTATATCTTACAATATGTATATCTTCGCACGATTTCTTTTATGTGTCACAAATTTAAAATGCAAAATGTAACGACATTTTTATTCGGAAATTGATAGTTTTCCATCCTTTCACCCGACAAAAAATTCAAGATATATATTATTCATTAAAGATGCGGAAATTCAAGAATGGTACAAAGGTTTCCTGAAGGACTGCCCGAGTGGTCACCTTAGCGTAGAAGAATTTAAGAAGATATATGGAAATTTCTTCCCTTACGGGGACGCTTCAAAGGTGAGCCAGCACAGTGACTTTTTTACGAAATTTTAAGTAAAACTAATGTTATATAAAATGGAATATAAGTAGTGGTACAAACGAAAATGTTAAAAGTGGTACCAAAATGTAATAAGTTGTAACTTTAACATTTTTTTTTCGCTCGAGACTTCATTTTTAAAAAAACAGATACAACTAAAACTTATATTTATATTTTTTAACATTCTTTAGACTCAGAGTAGATACGATGTATCGTTTGTAATAATTTCCTAGAATGAATTCGATTGTTCCAAATCGTTTGAGATATCGTACACGTGAATTTGTAAAAACGTGAGTTTCAGAATAACATGTTTAAAGTTTTGCATTAAATTTAATAGTGTGGAACTCGCCCATAAAGGTAACCGTCCGATCTAAGCTTTACCATAAACGCTTTGTTTTCTAAAAAGTATTTACTCATTTCTTAATTTACTACTTCTCGATCATCGTAACCCTAACCACCTTTCAGTGAATATCTTTATTTTGCACCCAAAAATACTTCCCTTCATACAGTGCACAATACTAACGAAAAAAGAAACAATACTATTATTTCAATCAATCTGCTCTTTGCAATTTATTCGATTATATTGTGTCTCTTTAACTTCGAGATCATTTACGATCTATGGACACATTTTTCACGTTGTCCAATGTGTAGTTTGCAGAACACGTGTTCAGAACGTTCGATGCGAACGGCGATGGAACGATTGACTTCCGAGAATTTTTGTGCGCGCTAAGTGTAACATCTCACGGCAAATTGGAACAAAAATTGAAGTGGGCCTTCAGCATGTACGATCTCGACGGTAACGGCTACATTTCGCGGCAAGAAATGATGGAAATTGTAACGGTATGTATGCAACACCAAGTGCTCCCTCTACTTTGATCTGACATTCGCCATTCGATACTCGGTGGCGAAAAGCGTAAGCTGTGGAAGCCACCCCAGTACACATAACAATTATAGTTAATTGGAAAAGTACCTGCCCAATCGCATATGTTCTTTATGAAAATTAACATACTAATAATTACTTACTGATATAATCGATACAAAACTAATATTGCTCATGTAGAAGTAAACTAAAGTGGTGGCATGTCGACGCCATCTTGATGATGTACCCATAGGCTCCGCCCCTATGTCAGGTCCCAATTCTAAGTTATCCAAGTGAACCAACCGAATCACAAAAAAGTGATTTATTATTAAATTTGCTATTCTGGCCATTTGATATTCTCAGTATAAACGAATGTTATCATAAAATATTTCAGAATACGATAAACTCGCGATAATTACCCGCATTTGGGGCTGTAGAGGCAAGCACTTATAGGAACGGGTAATTATCGAGAGCCAATAGCATGCAGGATCGCCTCACAGCTCGGTCGATGGACCACAATTATTGGCTACAGAAGGTGACAGAAAATGCGGTGCGCACACATGTGATATTTATTTAGCAGGCAGTTATCGCGAGTTTACTGTATCGTGCACCGGCCAGGCCCGGATTAAAATTTGTTGTGGCCCAGGGCTATTAAAATCACAAGACAGTAGCACGACATGAACGAAAAAAATGTAACAGAAATTTTAATTACCGTTTGTCCATACGTGCTTCCTCATTGCAGGCGATCTACAAAATGGTAGGCTCGGTGATGAAGATGCCAGAGGACGAATCCACGCCCGAAAAGAGAACTGATAAGATATTCTTGCAAATGGACAAAAATAAGGATGGAATATTATCGCTTGACGAGTTTATAGAGGGTGCAACGAATGACCCGTCTATTGTACGACTGTTGCAGTGCGATCCTAGTGCACAAGCTCAGTGAAGCCTTGGGCCATTACGCAAGTATTACCGTGTCATCTACATACGTGACTCGGGACCCGGTCCGATAATGCCTCAAGTGAAAAACATTACGATCATAAAGAATATGTTTATGAATTTTAATCGAGAATCTACCAATTAAATATATCTATCGTTTCAGTTGTATTTAATATAGACATTATTCATTCTATGTACAGTTAGTGCTGTTTTAGGATGCATATTTTCCCACGCTATTGCGTATTATCAAAGTAACAGTCCTTTCTAGAGTAACGATTATTTTCATTACCAGAATATAGAATATAGATAGTATACACTACTCTTTGTGAACGTGAATGTTATTTAAAAACATAGTTGATAAGGTTAGGGTGGCATCGTTACATTGGACCGGTTCCCGAATAGGTCCCAGGATCACTGGGCCCATGGCGCTTGCGCATACCGCAAGCTAGTCTGCAAGACTAGTCCAGTCGCTCCGTCTCAGAAACGGATCGGTTTTAAACGAAAAAGCTTATTACGTTTTTGGATGTACTGATCTTTGTGTGCTGCGTACGACGAAGAACATATGCAGAGCTGTCCACACTCTGCGATTTGAGAGAAAATAATTTGGTTTACAGCTAGAACCGAGCATCTGCTTTATCCAGAGTTAAACACCTCGACTCTGTTGATAAATTAGATGTCTGGAGCAGTGTTCGTGATCCACTTGTTCAAATAGTTGTAATAATTAGCGAAATTATTAATTGTTATACATGAAATGTTCTGTATTCTTGCACTGTTGTTTGTCATTTCATAAGACATCTCTATTATAAGAATTCAATTTTAATGGATAGTATGTCTTTACACAAGTACAACTATCGTTTCTCGTCGCAGAAATGTGTGTGTGTCTCTTTGCAGATTATCCTTGATTGTGCTTATAAATAATGACATCATATTTCAACACATTTTTGGATAGTAGTCTTTATCAAAAGTCTCCGCCATACGCAGCTCAGAATTAAATTAATCGTTAAATACGTTACATGATTTTTGTAAGCTGTTATACACGACATACCTTTCTTCTACTTCATAATCACGTGCAATGGATCCTTGCAGTTGCTGCAATATAAACTTTAACGACATGAACAAACGTTGTATTGTTGAATACCTGGTACATGATTATTTCTTTCCACAACTTAATATAAATAAAACAATAGATAAATTCTCTTAAATACAGTTAGTTTGTATCAAACTTTCGATTTGTACTGGCATCAAAGTGGGGTAAACATAATGTAACATTTCAAGGTTTCTGCCTTCAATTTTCTGGTTCTACTTCTTCAATTTATTGTAAAATAATAATATAAGTTAAAATACATGTAGCAACTAATAATGTGAAAAATTCACTATAGCCTCTCATATTGTGCAATTCATTTTTTCTATGTTACAATATTATCTATGGTGACCGATTACTTACTATGAAACTTTCTAATGATTTTTCTTTCTTTTTTTGTTAAACTACATTCCTTAAAGTAAAGATTTTAATATCAAACTTCTGCTTTTTCCAAGACAGTAAAATGTGAATGTCTATGTCAATATTTTCCCGAATATGATCAGATAATTTATATGATAGTATGCAAGTACATAGAGCCCTATGAAATAAAAAGAGGAGTAAAAAATATTTAATCACAACTTATAATATTTTCATTTTATTTTTAACTTGACAAACCTAGTAATTGATAAAATAAATTTTTCATTAATCAGTGTGCTAAATTAATTTATTATTCTTTTGATTTTTATTGAAAAATAATTAAACTTAGTAAATCACTCCAGCTGTACCTGTGATAATAATAATGATTTTAATCTTGTAATTAACTACATATTTTTCTTCCACTGCTGTCTAAGACATTAGATATGCAGTCTATACAAAAATGATAAATGAGGTTCTCTTCTTTTCAGAATAAATTATAATATGAGAATAATAGATTTGCACACTAAATAAATATAAGAAATACATGCTCAGTATCGATCTTAAATAGGATGAATGAATGATATAATTAGATTCAGATTTATATATAATTTCAAAATATGATAAATTTTAATTTATTATTTTTATCATAATAATTTATTACATTAAATGCAATGGAATTCAAAAATTTCAAAGATTTCACAGATATTCGAACTATTAATAGTAAGATAGCAATCTGAGATTTTCCATTTTCTAGATATATATCTCCTTTTGCTGATGCAGAAATGGGAGGGTGCTACATTCTACATATTTCAATACTAATCTTTAACTGCCTATTTCTCAATGAAGATATCTTTAGGACGTCGCCTGATATTGTGACCCAAAAAAAAATTTGACTCTAATATATTTCCAGTTTATCAATGGATACCAGTTGCACAAAATCGATTCTACTTGGAAATTAATACACTTTTCTAGTAACGTAGAACTTTGTGATTTCTTAATTTAAATAATAAAGAGAAGAGAATGAAGGTGCTTTCTCAACTTACTAAAACATTTTAAATTAAATGCTTGGTTATTGAAATTACATGATATTTATTTCTCTAGTACTATGAATTTTATTTTAAAAAATAGATATCTAGTGTCCACTATTATAAGTGTACAGCAGTCGAAATTAGGCATTGGACAAAGACTAATTAAGAAGTTAGGATACACAAATTTTTTCTCATGAAAAATATATATACACTTCCATTTTTGGCTGTTCTATAATTTTATTTAAAATAACTCAAATGGGAGTACCCTATTTTTGTGTGTGACAACAACTTGATAAAATAAATAGGTTTTCACCTAACTAATTGCAACAGTCCATTACACGTATCTATGAAAAAGGGAAAACTATGTTGAGCATAATAGCTATTTGCAAAACCATATTTCATATTATGAAATAATGCGCAGAATACTCTTTATGATCCTGGCAAGATATTTTAGATTTCTCATTACATGCTGTCCTGGATCTTCTAATGATCTAACAATTATAAAAAAAGACTCGTTTTGCGTGACATCTTACTACGTTAGCAACGAACTTAAACAATCAGTAGTTGTTTAAATAGCAAAGGACACGGAAAAAGTAGGTAAATAATTTGATCCAAGAAATTACTCTGTTGATATAAGTACATTTAAAATACAATAGAACTCCATTTATTCCAACAACACAATTTGTTAGACGAAAATTTTAATCAATGTCTAATTTATTAAAAATCTACTGTACTCTTATTACTACAGTTATTATCGAGCATCAGTACATTTATATGTGCATTAAAGATATGCACACATTCCGTTTCGGCGTATCTTCACGTTTCATTCAGCAATGTCTAAATGCACTTCGTACACATATAAGAGAAAAAAGCAATTGCGTCCAGATAAGGTAAAACATAGTGTACGTGTACCTTTATATAGCTCAAAATCAAAAAAATGCATGTATAGTCGAATTATGTTATCTGAATAGGAACTACGATTATTTGAACAAAAAATAATGAGTGGTAGGAAGAATCATTAAACTCCTGTCAAGTGAATGATCCAGTTATTTGAACTGTCTTATCCCCCAGTGTGTTCAGATATATGGAGTTCTATTGTAAAAACAATGTATAACATAAATGACATATAAATACTTATTCTGATGATAAGTGAATATTATATTTGCTTTATAATTGCAGTATTTTTTGCAATTTTTATGGATGTAAATGTAAATGAAAAACAATTTTTCGTGAAACTATATTTATGGATATATATAAAATTGAATGTGTTACAGTCTAATATATCCAAAACTAAATTAAATACGAAAGTTCTAATTGCAAGAGATTATTTTATATGAAGGGACTTAATACTAAGAATTAAAAGCATCTAGGTGATATGAAGATCATCTTGGTTTCCCAAGCTGAAGCAGTCTATTTTTACACACATAAATTTTTCACAAATATAACAATTATAAACACATGGGCTACAAGTAAAACCATAATGAAAAAATGACAGATCAGAATTTAATTTCTAGTTCATAAAGTCTGCTACAGAACTTTGGAACAGACAGACGTACTGACAGTATGAACTTACCTGATGGAAACCATAGTTTAGGACTGTTTGGGCTTGTGTATACATACATAACGACAGGCATAAATTATAGATTTTTATGATCTTGTAATATATGCTGAAAGAAACATGGAAATAAGATAGAACAAACAGTATCAATATTGTCAAAGATGCTGAGGCGAATGTTATAGATGAGACACTAAATTTTATATTCCTGCTAATTATCGCCTCAGTTCTATCCCAAATCTTTACAATCGTCATATTCGTAAAAACTTTGTGTGTGCAAAAATATAATTCTCTACTTAAGAAAGACAAAGTGATCTATGATAGTTTTCCATAAAAAATGTAACCATACAATAGCCCCTTCATACTAAATAAACAACAATCAGCAGGCTATTATACTGTATAAACACATTTCATTTTATACCCTATATATTTTCTTCAATGTACGTAGATTGTTTTTCCTTTCACGAAAGCACAATTGAGAACATTAATGATTTATAAAACAAAAACACACAAAGTATCGATTAAAATATATAATTTTTACTAAAGTATTAAAGTTCCAAAATTAAGACGTTAATTTCATCATACCGAGCATTACAGTCCGATAACCTTTGCTATAGACCCTTCTTCGATGCATGTTAATTTGAGTGAAGTAGAAGATAATCCTTCAATCTTCTCGTGACACTAAAAGAGAAAAGAACGAAGTCTCTTCGCCAATCCGAATGACTGGACTGATTAATATTTTCAGTAGCGTTTAAGGGACAAGAGGCTTCGTGGTAAAATAGAGAATGATTGTAAAAATTAAGCGGAGATACAACAGAGAACAGAACGAGAGAATAAAATTCACACGCACGAACTATTTTAGAGATTTATTTTTGCGAATGCATAGGCGCGCGTGTACGTGTACAAATGTGCTATGTGTGCGACAGTGTATTGTTATATGCGTCTACACGTATGCGTACGTGAGATGGAATGGTAGCAGATAGTAGGATACGAGAAAACATGAGTAAACAGAGAATAAAAAAAAGGGAGAAAGTAAACAGAGAACACAAAACATGCCCCGCTACCTTGTTGT